CCCCCCCCCACTGACTTTTTCACGTCATGGGGCCCCAAAACTATACTTTAAAGGGGGGCACCAAAAATTGTGGGCTGACCCTGAGTGTGCCAGTGGAAGGCCCTGATATGGGTGTGGCTCTACCAACACCACTGTACTTTCATAGGTATAGCTTACTTTGCTTGGAGGGTTGAGATATTAAGACTGTACTATAGTGGTCGAAAGCAGAGCTTTGTGGCATAACTGAGTCTATCCTAGAAGTGCTGTGCTAGATGTTATGTGCTATGTGATGTGTGTGCATGTGTGTACCCACGCATGCACAGTGTATGTATGCATAGATGCACTCTTGCCAGTATGTGGGGCTATTTTGTGTTGTTTGTTTCCTGTTGCTGTCTGTTGTTATGCTTGAAGAGCATTCAGTTAACCTAGGGGTGTCAATATATGGCCCACAATATGGACTCAGCACTGTGGGTATTACATGAAGCACAAGCGGTTGGTCCAGGGCACATGCTACATGCAACGCTCATTCTGAACCAACCTTGAGCACTGATTAGCCAGAACAGGGCTGGTGCATACTGTAGGTGGCATACAGGGCTGAACTGACCGTATATGTTTCAACACAACACAGGGGCCACCATGGGGTGTGAAGTGCACGCGGTACCCTGCTACATTGGCCCTGCACATTGGCTCCAGTGTTTGGTCCCAATCCAAGCTGCAGACTGCCTCGGTGACCCTCATCCGGCCCATGGGACAGCATGAGTTTGGCACCCCTTAAGTTAGGCCTTTTTGTCTGCACAATAAAGATGGCTGCTCTATTGATTTCACTGGGAGACACAAACCTCTGCAGCACACTAAACTACTACTGTTCCTAGACCAGTAAAGTACTCCTTTAGTTCTTGCTCAGGACTTCCTTGTGGCCAGTTCTTTGGTTAACAACTGCTATTGTTTCAACTGTCTTACTCTATAAAGGAGTTTATATCTTTTTAGCTAGAATAAAATGCAGCTAGCAAGCCTATTAGCCTCAAGAAGTTTGTGATTGTTTAAACAGCAAAGACATGTTTATTGACAGCTACCAAAATTCTTCAGTGATATATAACTAGGAAGCATTAGGAAGAACAGTGTAGACGGAAGACTAATAAAGAGATCTAGAAAGGTTAGAAATAGTTAGAAAATAAAATTACATTCACCTCAGGAAAATGTAAATTAACTTCTGGGGAATAATAATCTGAAAACTGTATTTCATAGAAGCCTCAAAATATACAAGCAGCTTTTAAGGGTGAGTAGCAGAAAGAAATGTAGACTTGAATTTGTAGTCAGTCAAAGGGGTCAATATAATGTTATGTTGCATAAGAGCTGTCATGTTGTCACGCTTTTAATATCTCCATAGATGATTCAGTTGGACATGGCCTGAGCTATTATATTCAGTCTTAAGATCCTCTTAGGTGATATCTGGAGCAAAACAACACACTGACCAATGGGAATCTTTGACAGCTGCTAACAGGCACCAGTGGCGAAACTAGGTTGAAGCCAGACATGGTACATTTTAAATAGCAACTGCGTCCCACTGAGCTAGGCAAGCATATAAGACACAAAAATTAACAGCAGCAGCAGCAAGCTGTTTTACAGGGACAGGGAAACGTAAGATTTGTTGAAGAGGCTGCTTCTCATGCATTGGCCTTCTCTCTTGTGCACCCACCATGCCTCAGTAGCCTCCATGCCATGCAAAAATAGCCTCGGTACCAGGAAATGATATTGTATGGCATAGTGAGAAAAATATCCAAATATAACAGCAGGAAAGGAATCATTTGTAAGGAAAGAAGAAAAGATCTATATGAACAACACCTTGGTCAACTGACGATTAAATGGGTCTTGTATTAATCATGTACATTATATGCAAAGAGTAAACACCAAGCAGAAAGGGATAATTTAGGATGGTAAATGGAGTTATCACAAGATGAATGGATTCAAATTGAGAAGGAATTTGAAATATCAGGAACAGTACTTTGAAAGGAGCTGTACAGTGACTGAACACTTGCACAACAGGCTTCGCACAGCCAGGCGACTGGGGGGGGCACAGGGGGCCACATGTCCCCCCTTAGATTGGCCCCTGACTTGGCACTGCTCAGGACAGGGCCGTTCTTCTGCTGTGCGGGCCAGCAGCGTGTTGGGGGAGGGTGCTAACCATGGCACAGAAGTATAGGAGTGGATATGGGGCTTTTGGCCCACCATCAGATGGTGCCCCCCCAGACTCAGGAGGCACCAGTTGCCCTGCATCCAGGGGATTACTTTTCGTGGCTAAATGCTTATCCACCTATAGCTTACACCAGCTAACATTTAAACAATGTCAGGACTGTTAAAGAGTAGTGATAGAGAAAAAAAGGCCCAACAATGTAAATGCCTCAAGTTACTGAGGTGTAGGTTGTAGCCGTGTTGGTCTAAGGACATAGGCAGACAAGGTTCTTTGGGTGAATCTGATATCTTTTATTAGACCAACTTAAATAGTTGGAAAACAATTATTAAGCAAGCTTTCGGGTTCAAAAACCCTTCGTCAGGCTAAGAAAGTTTCTGCAGTTGGTGTGTGCTCTTCCTGGATGGCGTGAAAAGTAAAGAGGCCAGAGGCTGGGCTGATTTGCGTAAAAGACAGGTAGTCAGTGAAAATGTAGACTGAGGTGTCAATGGGTGAGACACAGGCGGAGGGGGGAAGAGAGAGAAGGGGGATGAATAGTGGAGAGATACCTGGGGAGTCAGATGTCAGGCAGGATATATATAATGTGTCATAAATCCAATGTCTATATTTAGTCCATAATTTTTAGTATAGGAGGCTGATGAAGTGGAGTTCATAGACTCGTCTCTGGGAAGTGTTTTGTAAGTTTCCTTTGAG